TACCGCTTCTAAAGAACTATTCAGCACTGCTGGGTGAAGTGTTAGTTGTTGAACCGTATTTTCACTTGACGTCATCAGACCACTCTACGCCCAACGCTAGCGTCCTAGTTTAGCCCTGCGTCACCCACGCGACTGGATGTTCTCCAGCTACGAAATGACGAGAAGAGCATCAAGATATTTGAAGCACATAACCGTGGCAAACCACAAACCTCCTTGTCGTATACACGGATCGCTGCACTTTTCACCACAGCAGCAATGAAACCTTTCTCGTCAGAGGGCTGGGGCTGAAAGGAGATCTTCGTTAATGAACAGAGATGAAACGTCTGTTTGAAAGATACCGGTGTCGGAGATATTTGCTGATGTATTCTGGGAGGTGGAATTCGTGAGCCAGCATCCACAAAAGTACTCGTCTGTCCATCTGTAAACATTGATTACAATTTGTTTAGGATTTTTTTTACTGTTTCCATATCTCCACTAATATTTACGAAAGAAATTGTTGAAGTTAGATGCACTGCTCATGAAGTTTTGTGTTACCTTTTCCCTTGACTTATGGGCAAGGACCACATCCTGGTGCTCAGAATAAATATTTTTGAGAGCCCAGAACTGTAGAGCTAAGAGATTGAAACCAATGTGATTGCTTGCCGGCTTCCACAACACGAAGCTCAGTCCTCTAAAACGCCCCAGCATTCGCAGCGAACAAGACTGCATACCTTTCGCGCAGTGGTCCCAGGCTCCTTTTGAAGTGCACACCCTTAAAGGCAGCTGGCAATTCCTAAGATGAGTAGGGTTAATACGTCTGGCTGGACGGGATTCCGTGCCCCTGAGCAGGCGCTGCATAGCACCTTTTCCAAAGGAGGTAGTCTTATAAGACCCTATCGAGCTACAACATACCGACCCAAAACGCCCACCGCGCCCGCCCGCCCACAAATGGACGACCGTTCCTGATGCTCGTATTGCTTCATTTGCTAAGTAAATATGAAGCGAAGGGATTGGTATGAAGCGGCTGCGGTGCTGCATGGATATATGAGAACATACGTGCAGCTGTACCTACCGTAGCGGTAATCGGGCAAGATGCTACGGGAACTCGTCCGAATTGCTTTTTGAGTCATCAAGAACGACGGTCTCTCTTCGCAGGTTCTCAGCCTTTCCTTCGTTTTTTTTCGCCATTTTCCTCAACTGAATAGCGCCCTGCTAGCATTTTAGGCCGAGGTCAAATTATCGTGGCCAAACCGTCTTTAAGGAAGGCAAATGCACCTTGCGGGGAATAAAAAAAACCTGGCAGAGAATACAGTGAAAGGATAGGGAGGTTCTGTGGGACTCTCAAAGGGTAAAAAAGTAACTATAAGTCTAGAGCAAAAAGTGAGGAACTGGCCTAGTGGAATCCCTGCGCACGCTCGAGGTCTAAAATCGAATTTTACCGAGCAGCTCATCAGGGCCTGTTAAATGCTCCCAAATTGTCGACTATTTGGAAACTTTTGTGAAGATAAACACACCGATTGTTCATCGCACTAATGTTTAGCTAATTTCACTGTCGAATAATTATCGATGTCAGCTAAATCATGAAATGAAAGTGTAAAAAAACACATGACGGATCTCAAAAAATACTAGCCAGTGTAGAGCGATTCATCTTTTCATATTTTTTTCGAGTCAGTGTGATGAGGTTGACCCTCGAAAGTCAGCTTCGCTTGTAACTTAAAGGCAAAGCCCGCGACCACAGATTGTGGGTAACGGAACCCACATAGGAACGAAAAAGGGCTAGGTATCTGAGTAGCGGAGAAAAGCAGCAGAAAAACAGCCGAAAATGCCCTAAATAGGATTCCATATCGACCCCAACTTGTACATGCATTGCATGCAATGAAGAAAACGCATGTTTGTACGAATTTCCACTCGTCGTTATCATAAAGATATCAGCTCTTTTATCGTATCACCTCACTCTCACCATTCGGAATGGAGAGATAGCATAGTGGCTACTAGCTAGTAGCTAGCAGCCGGTGGGGTCGGCATGGGCCTAAGGGGCGCCCTTGGGCCTAATTGGTTAGCTTAAAGCGGAATTCTTGCGGATTTTCACTTTCTAAAGGTAGCGCAGCCTCCGCAATCTCCTTCCGGATCGTCTGACACATTTGAAAGGTCATAGCC